GAAAATAGACGGATGCCAACTTTAACAAATAAAATAGAGAACGTTACACACCAACCGTGGCGCGTTTATCCAAAAAAGAGGAGTAGGCGACAACTACGTCAAAACCAGCATGGTGTCAACTTAATCTAACCATTGTTGACGAAGAATAACAAAACTAAGATCGTAAGGCTACTTATCGGTTGTGTTGCAACCTGGACGAAGTGTGCACCTGAACCGCCGTAGGGACTACAGCTTGGTGCTCTTGAGATTCGGCGAGCTCAAAGCCTGCGCACACGGTTGATATGGGTATCAATGATCCAACGTGGTGAGGAAGTTAGTCCGTGCTAGCTTGACTGGGAGTTTGTGAACGATCATGGCTGGCGGTCCTTGGGGTTAAATGTGCGCATGTTCGGGCAGTCCGAAAACCCAGATCAAATAAGTATTAAAGCAGTCTGTGTGAAAGGGAAAAAGGGTACGTGCAGGCGCAACAAAGGTATTTAGCGTATGTCTACTGCTCGATCGGTTCGAGAAAAGTAGGTCGTGGGAGGAAATATAAAACCACCATTTTCAAGTGATTAACGACAGGGGTGGCAAAGTCGTCCTACGGGGATATTTGAATAAGCTTATCACCTAAGGTCAGAAGTAGAAGGAAACAAATATTTAATATGCTAAGAAGGTCGCGGGTCGGGATAGAATGTAAGATCTTCGTCATTATTAACTTTGTTGACAAAATTCATGCGTTTTAGATGCCAACATGAGGCAGTTTGGAGAAAAGCAAGACATGCGAGTAAAGAATTTTGCGAAAAAATGGATGGTAAACGTAGAATCTACGGAGGAACATGCGCACGCACAAGTTACTCAGTAAGATAACTTCATTTTGACCGGAATTTCCAAAAAACACAATCAAAACATACGGCTGATTGGGTGGGGGAAATCGTGTTTCTACATAAATATGAAAAATATGGAGAATCAAGCATAAACCCCTTGCTTTTTCTGCATTACAGCTCAAAGGTGTGGGCACCAGGCAGTCACAAAAGCAGGTTGTATAGTTTAGGCGCACGCCGGCGTTTAGGATAGCAAAGATGCCGGAATTAAATCGGCCAATTAAAGCCGAACCTTGGCAAATAATCTAAAATCCTGTTCAATTTTAAGAAAATTAAAACGACAACGGAAAATTGCCCCGACCATTGAAACGTTAGTTACTGCATAGTCTGCTGCAGAAAACCTCTCTACTTTTAATTTCCTCATCATTCAGTAACCTAATTACTCATGAGTGAAACAGGTAACCTGATGGTGTAGGTTCGACTGCCACTCAAAGCGAAGTACAATCGGTGTATCTGGGAAGAAACATTTCCATGAAACGAAACGGTAGATAGTGCGGATGAACTTAAAACATAATCGTCTGAAGTGTTCAGACAGTTTGTTGTGCCTGCCTTCTATGAGCTCATAAGGTCTGACCTTCAAGTTGACGCCAAATGTTTCACCGACTTCAGTGTAAAAGAGTATGCAAGGTACTTCAGTTCCACTAAGCAATACAGTTATGTTTGTTATGCCATGCATTAATAGGCGTCACAAAAAAACAAAATGACAATGGCTTGAACCCGGACACCACAAAGGGAAACGAATTAGCGAACTTTCAGGTCCTGGGAAGTCTCCTGATTAATTATTGGTGACTAGCCTTACAAAAATAACCGGACAGGACGGATACATGGTGTCGAAATACGTAAGGACGCGCGCAACCATTGAATGCGTGTGTCATGTTGGGGCAAGTTCACTTATGCATTTTCCTGGCTAAAGGATAATGCACATGCCGAAGAAAGACACTCCAGCTACACGACACGATTCACTAACTCCATCGGAGACTATCGACTTAGACGGTCAGAGTACTGTAAAATTACAAAAGCACGAAAATCGGCATGATTGCGATCCATAACACCCATATGGCAATGTCCTAGCAATACGCTAGAGCACAGTGTCCTTGCTAGGTCAAGTGCACTAGGCCAACCACGGTGTGGAATACCGCCCAGCACTGCGTGTATTCAGCGTAGGAACAAATGCACATGAGAATTGCTATCACAGTTATAGGGATCATAGGGACGATCATGTTGATTGTAATGGATGGATGAAACTCGAAAAGCACATTGGAAGACAATGAACTAGTTAGCAAGAATGACGTGGGTCAGCATATCCCACAATTGGCAAGTAGAAAGCAAATCGAAGTTATCAGGGTGCAGAGAACGCCAAGGCATAAGGAAATTATAGTCATTTAAAATCAAGTGATACAAAGGAGATTAGCTGTAATATTAAGTTGATTTTAGGTTTAAGTGGACATAAGAAAAAAAGATAATGCAACATACTAACCCTAACCACGCGCAAAGGGTACAACCTCAAACCGAAGAAGCGAGGAATGCAGCCTGAAAACAGACGCAATCGACCTCGATAGTAGTTTAAATCAGTATTAGTATATGTAAGGGATATATAGGTAGATTGCCTTTGAGTTCCCTATTTATACATGTGTATCGTGGTCAAAAATAATATAACAGTTTTATGGCGAGGCCAATTGTCATGAGCCATGAGGTGGTACATATTATTTTTGAGCAGACCGTGAAATAATTCCTTGGCATTTTTAAGGAGAAAAGGCTGTAGCTTGTGTGCTCTTGGCCCTACTTATGCGTTATTTAAATTTATCAAGGACCAATTTTGTTAAACTCGAATACAACACACTTGCACACTTTCGGTTCTGAC